AACCTGAAAAAGTAATGAGCAGAAGAAGGATCCGGAAAGCAGTGGCCATTGCTTTATTAAATCTCACGCCACGGCTGTGCAATGTGGTTGTTTCACTCTATATATAGTGTGTATGTAACTTTATGCCGCCATATATAAATAATTTTATATATAGTGTGAAATTGAACGTATAATCAGTAGGATTTTTTATGATAAAAAGGTTATCATTTGCTAAAGATTATTTGCAGCAGCATTACACCGCTGGAAAAAAGTTTTTACAGAGGCTCTACAGATCTCTCGTCAATATATTTTGTGCAACTTTTAATTATATGGGACCAACGTGGGACCCACACTCACATGTGAATGCCCTGTGCACTACTTGGGAAAACCGCCCCCGTGCGTCTGGTTTTATTCTTATTTGTATACTTCTCCAGTTGTTAAATTCCACGTAATGGTTTCCTGTTTCTGCATCAATTCCCTTGCCCTTTTTGATGTGCCCATCAATGAACCCAAAAAGAGAGATTGAGGGAGAGGAGAGTGCCCCTACCCTCTCCATTTCTCTACCCAAAATTTGACCCTTAATATGGGGTGGTTGGACAAGATATTTCATGTCTTAAATTGTTGGGTCTCTATCTATTTAGTCCCCCATTGAGCCCTACTTTTAAAGAATAATTTTTGTGAAAATTGATTATTTTAGAGGATGTGTGATTAAAAAAATATATATAGTAACAAATTTTGAGTTCATGTGTAAAATTATCTTATTGAGAGTATATGAAATTAACATCTATACTTCTATTTATCGGAGGTTCCCTCTCTTTTTGTAACTTTAACTAATGAACTAATCTCTTGGGTTTGTAGGTGGTGTACCATTTCGAATTTCAAATTTTGATGCTGTTGATTCATATAGCGTATGAGAAGTTGGAGATCAGATGGGAGAATATTGTTGAAAATGACTTTGGACAAAAATAAATTTTAAATAATGAAGCTCAAACGGAGGCTTAGCTTCCACTTTAAAAATCACTTATTAACGATCAAAGTTCATTTTCAACTATACAATTCAATGATTTCACAAGCACTATTTACTTATTCACCATTGATTTATACATATTTTGAATTTAAACCGATTGTAACAAAGAAGAATGGATAAAAGTGGCAAAACACCACAACCATTATACATCAAAGGGGCATGTTATGGCCACATCAGCAAGCATGTTACCCGGAGTTATGCACCATTACCATATTGATTTTACCAAAATTGTGTTAGATTAATGCTTGACAATAATTTATTGGTAGTTGAACCAAAAGTATTTTTCAATCATCAAATCACAATTTGCCAAGTCATTCTAGCAATTTGATTCTGCTAAAATGGCATAACTCATGTTAAGTGCTTGAATGGAAGTTGATCGAGTTGTATAATTAATCATAACTTAATGTATAGTGGTGTGATTACTCCGAATTAAAGTTCAATGACCTGTTTGCAAGTAATGCTAAAAATTCAGTTGCCTTGAGAGAAATTTACCCAAAAAATTATTGATTTTCGAAGTCGTCAAAACTCTTTTTAATCGTACACTTTGTATATCTCATCACTTCTCCAACTTTTCAATTAGTTGTATCACACAAAAATGATATTCACATGGATGAGACATTTTTTTCTTTTTAGTTTCACACTCTACCCAATTTGATTCGAATTCACATAAATTATTTAGCAAGGTTTCGCCCGTACAGCCTGAGATAAACCTTGATTTAGAAGGAACATATTTTAAACTAACAAAATTAAACAAGATCAAAAGAGAAAACAAAAATGTTTAGCCTCTTTTTGTTCGTACACTTTGTATATCTCTTCACTTCTCCAACTTTTCAATTAGTTGTATCACACAAAAATGATATTCACATGGATGAGACATTTTTTTTTCTTTTTAGTTTCACACTCTACCCAATTTGATTCGAATTCACATCAAATATTTAGTAAGGTTTCGCCCCGTACAGCCTGAGATAAACCTTGATTTAGAAGGAACATATTTTGATCTAATAAAATTAAACAAGATGAAAAGAGAAACAAGTAAACAAAATTATCAATTATCATGTCCAGCTTGAATGATTTAACATCTCAAGCTGGATGAGACATTTTTTTCTTTTTAGTTTCACACTCTACCCAATTTGATTCGAATTCACATAAATTATTTAGCAAGGTTTCGCCGGTACAGCCTGAGATAAACCTTGATTTAGAAGGAACATATTTTAAACTAACAAAATTAAACAAGATCAAAAGAGAGAACAAAAATGTTTAGCCTCTTTTTGTTCGTACACTTTGTATATCTCTTCACTTCTCCAACTTTTCAATTAGTTGTATCACACAAAAATGATATTCACATGGATGAGACATTTTTTTTTTCTTTTTAGTTTCACACTCTACCCAATTTGATTCGAATTCACATCAAATATTTAGCAAGGTTTCGCCCCGTACAGCCTGAGATAAACCTTGATTTAGAAGGAACATATTTTGATCTAATAAAATTAAACAAGATGAAAAGAGAAAAAAGTAAACAAAATTATCAATTATCATGTCCAGCTCGAATGATTTACCATCTCAAGTGTGTCTGTAAAGACGTAAAGTCTTCGTCCTATCTTAACTTTGTAGTAGGCCAAGATAATGAGCTTTATTCTCATTCCTACGCATTCGGGAGTCCCAAAAGAACCTAAAAAAACAAAACACACTCACCATATCTGCCTTTTAACGTTATCTAGCTTTCTCAAATGGATGCTTTCTATTTTTTAAAAGGGAAGCTTCTGGGCTATCTCAAAAGCCAATTACAAAACTATTGAGGGTTTTTTATTTCTGCAAATTAAATTTTTGCTTTTCTTCTATTTTGGGTTTGTTCCAATTAAATTTCCGACACATCAGCTCAAAGTTAACGTCCAAGCATAGAGCTAGACGGCCAGCTAGATTATTCGATTTCCATGTATTATAATCACGACTTTTCCTCTTTTTCAAATTCAAAATTTACGTGAAACAATATGACTATAGTCATGTTAATGACCCTTTATTTTAATTTTGTTATATATATATATATACACATCAGCTCAAAGTTAACGTCCAAGCATAGAGCTAGACGGCCAGCTAGATTATTCGATTTCCATGTATTATAATCACGACTTTTCCTCTTTTTCAAATTCAATATGACTATAGTCATGTTAATGACCCTTTATTTTATATATATATATATAGTGATTATTTATTCCCATTATTAAATTATTAGATCAATTTGTGCAAACATTTCAATCACACTTGGTCATCATGCAACATCCTACTTGCACGGGCCCAGACCCCCTGGCCAATAGGGGGCACGAGTTTGAACAGGGCCGAGGTGACCCAAGAATAATCTATTTGTTTCTGATAGCAATGTGTTACCAAAAAGCTCCAGAAAAGTCGAAATAGGAGCATTATAGGTGAAAAAAAAAACTGCCAACCAGCTAAATCGAACTGAAAGCACAGTTTTGAAACAGTTGGTTTGGAACGGTTTAGGTTTCAACATTTAAAAAACCGAACCAAACCATTTGAAAATGGTTCATTTTAAGTTTCAGTAGTTAAAACCCACTTGAAACGAAATCACTTAATTTCAAATCATGCACAAGAGTTTAGGAATTGTCAAAACTAACAGACAAATTGCAGGTACTAGATTTCTAAGCATGTAATTCGGAGAAAAAAAATGTTTCTAACAGAAATAGTTGATTAAGAGCAGTAAGCTTCGACCTGACAAGAGTATGGAAAGCAGTGTTCATGATAAAAACAGGACGATAGAAATTCAAAACTCCGATTCTCTGGAAATATTTTATTGTTTACGCTCGCAAAATTCTTCCCTAAACAGCGGCGTAGAAACATACATCTTAAAAGATCCGCTGAGGCTTCCCCATTGTACTCTTCAAGTACAAGCATCTGACCTGATTAACCAACAAAAACAAACAATTCAGCCACCGTTGAATCAAGATTGGAAGCGAATAGAATTACGGTCCCTAGGGCAGAAGGCTTAAACTCAAATGGACAACTATAATTTGAACTTTTGAACTAAAAAAGGTAAATTCAAACATGGTCCAATAAATTCACTTTTGTTTGAACAAATGATCAGTTCAAAATAGCAAGCAAATAGCAAATTAATTGGCCGTAAGGAAACAAAGGAGAGATACTCACATTCTGCCAATTTTTCTTCAGCAGTGAAACTAGAAAGTTGACACTCATTTGCACATTTTGAAAGATCTGCTTCTCCTCCATACCCAAATTTCCAACAGCAACTCCCATGCAAAGAACCTTCTTCAATTGAAATTTCACTGTGGCCTTCGTCTCATTGACCTTAGATTCAAGAGATTCCTGGTGTGACACAAGGGTGGGGAACTTTCCTGCAATAAAATGTTAATGCGAGTTAGCTGAAGATGAGAATTAGCATGACTAAGAAAATTATAAATTATTCAATTTTAGATTATCGCAATAATCTTCATTGCCACTGAAAAAAAGGTCATGGGTAAAATTACCAAAAAGGCATGCCATGATCATACCTACATTTTTTCATTTTTATTTAGATAATTATTGAGAAGGCAAGCTAAAGGAAACAGGGCTGTTTCTGGGTGTTTCATTTAAAAATTGAATGTGACACAATTCTGCGTATCATGAAAATTTTCCCTTCTACAAAAATTCATTATTTATATCAGCCGCAATTGATAATTCATAAGCAGATTAGTTACATTTGTATACCAGTGCAAAATCACTCGGATGTTGCAGAAAGCATCATCCCGAGACCTTATTTTAGCATAGCCTCTACTTTTCAAATCTCCTACTATAGATAAGACCAACTATCATCAGATGTTAACTCATCACACACACTTGCCTGCCTTGTTAAGACCAGGTCCTAAAAGACGTGGAATCTGCTTGATAACAGCTTCTGAGGCCAAGAAAGCATGATATTTCTTTGCAAGTTTCTTAACCAACTTCTTGTTTTTGTTCAACTTCTTGAGAGCCTCCACATCCATGGACTCCAATCCTATTTTTTCTGCCTGCAGATACAATTAAAAATAAATAACATGACATGAAACAAGGATATAAGTTTTAAAGACTATCAAGATTATCATCAAAACGACTGAAATGACATAAATATTGAAAATAACATCTCCTGACATCAATTCAACTGAAGCAACATATGGACCTGCAGTTAGAATATACTCTTAATGTGGTACTTATGTGGACCCGCAGTTAAAATTTACCGGCCTAAGCATATCAAAACCAAATCTTGACTTCAAAATTTACCAAAAATAAGGAAATTCAGCTCACAAGTAAAGGTTAAGTTGGCTCTACTGCATGTTTTACCTAGCACACAAACCAAGTTGTTTCATGAATATTCTTCGCTATTTCAAATTAAAGCTCAATGGTGGCTCTGAGTATAGGCAAGGGGCGATCGCCTAAGGCCCCACTTTGATGATGGCCCCAAATTATGTAAAGTTAATTGGCTAATTGAAGAAAAACGAAAATTATATTTATGAAATTCTAAAAATGGCTAGAAATTTATAACTTACATTTATTTATCACAAACATAACTTTCCCTTTTTATAACTAAGTTGACATTTTATCTTCCAAACATTTATTTTCTTTTCTTAACCAAACAAAAGAGCTCTCTTTCTCTTCAAATTTCACACCAACAATCATCCACCATTATTTTTTCAACCTAACAAGATATAAATTATCTCCCATTAAATTAAAATTTTGAAGATTCAATTTAGCATATTGTTTTGATCTCACCGTCGTCATTACAACCATAAAGGTTTCTTATTTTATCTCTTATCTTCAAAACAGATACTACATAGTACACGGGCTGTCACTATAATTTTTTTGTTTTAATCTCATGATGATAATATTTTTAGACGTTTGCGGAAAGTACTTTGAATTTAATAATTCTTTGTCTGTGTTCATTCAGATACTTCTTATTTTTAAGTTAATTTCTTATAAATTAATATAAAATTAGAAACTCATTTGTATTTGATCATCATTTTCATTATTTTGTGACGCTATCTTTTGCAGTCAACATTCTCCAGTTTGTACATAAATCACTCAAATTTATATTCAATTTTCTTTGAAATAGTTCCAATGAGAAAATAATTATAGAAGCGAACATACCCCTTACCATTGCATTATAATTCCGTTTGCCAAACTTTACTTGCAATTTTTATTGCATGTTGAAATTTGACATTTTGTTAATTTCCCCTTCAAATTTTGGGACTTAGTTTCTGTNAAACTTTACTTGCAATTTTTATTGCATGTTGAAATTTGACATTTTGTTAATTTCCCCTTCAAATTTTGGGACTTAGTTTCTGTATTAGATTCTTCATAATTATATTAAGCCCCTGTTTGGTATCAATTAAAATCTAGAATTTAATCTAAGTTGAAATCAACAATTAATTTCAAACACATTTTATGGGTCCCAGAACTTTCCATCTACATATTTCATCTACTTCTATCAAATTTTATTAAAAAATTAATTTTAATCTCCAACAAACAGAGGCTAAAACTCTACATAAAAAACTCAAGATATAAGACCCATATTTGAAATTGGTATAAGGCCCCCCAAATATGAGGGCCGATTCTGTTAAAGTTGTATACAATGTATGAGAACAAAACCAAAATAAATTAAAAGCGTATGACAGTAGAGTACAATTGAAAAATACAGAGCGCAATGAAACTAATAATTCTAAAGATCAGACTACATAAATGTAGTCAATTCAGGACATACAAGGGGATTCTCCAAACAAATTAAACTTCCCAAACTAACATAATGCCAAATAGCTTCACTGTATTTCATCATATGATCTCATCAAACTATATAGTCACCAGAATCGTAATGCTTATACAGCACGTAAAGAAGATTCAGCTTTATTTTTATAATCTGAAGAAGAAAGCTAACGAATGCATCACAATACTTGTGAAGTATGTGATAATAAAGGTACCTCCTCAACGTGCTGAGCATCACCAAGCATGCAAATCTTCATCTTGGGGCGAGGGATGTGAGGCAACTTCACCGAGCCACTGAATCGCTTATCCTTCTGGGGATCATAATTTTTCAGCCCAATTTGAAGCTCAATCGTCTCAGTGAAATTACGTTTTTTCTCCTTAGAATCGGTAACAATTACAGAGATCGCTTCTCTCAGGGCCTCGCTCTGAAGCTTACTGCAAATTGATTACAATCAAAACTAGATCAACTAACGCTTATAACAACAAACACCATTTACGAAGAAATTCTTAACATTTACAGTCAAAAATTTTATCTGTCTTCTGACCTCATTGTTCAATATCTCTATTTCTTCTCAGTCCACTTCTGTTTCAGAACAAAATAACCAAATTAAAATGAGAAAAGCAATACTCCGAAATTAATTTAACAAATATACACAGAAAACGGAGATAAAGGAAACCTAAAGAGGAGAATCAGGGTTCGCCAGACGGACTGACGGCGTCGCAGGGTGAGGACAAAATAGGATGATATAAACCCTAGCGCGGGAGAAGGTTTCAGAGTTGGACTGGGCTGTACCTTTTCTGGGCTTATTTTGGAGTGAAATGAAAGTAAATGAAATTACACAAATGGCACTAAAAATATGAAAAAGAACTATTAGCCCGTGTTTGGGCTCCATTAAAATTGAATTTTGGGAAAAAAATTATTTTGAAAATAGTGATTTTTTTTAAAGAATGTATGATTAAAAAAAATAAAATTTTTTAAATTTACATATAATATTATTTTATTGAAAAACATATAGTTGAACAGAAGAGATTGAAAATGCATTTTGATTTTAATGGAGCCCAAACAAGGATTTAATATTCTTTTATATTTATGTTAGTAAACCTTTTAATGATTTGAAGTACTTTTAGGCACGTTTGACATGGTACTTACACAGGATAAAAATAACTTCCAAAAGTTTATTTGACCTAATTTTTTGAAAAATAATTTTTGTAATAGTGATTTTTTTAAAAAATGTGAGAAAAAGGTAAAATAAAACTTTGAACTTACGTATAAAATTATTTTATTGAAAAATTTGTAGATAAAAATGAGTTTTGCTACAGTAACAAAGGCGGGGACAGGGCATTTGACAAGGGGCCTAGGTGGCACCTGTCCCCACCGTTATTCGTTTAGCAAAACTGGGCACATACAAGGATTCTAGTCGGGCTTTAGCACAGATAGTCCTGGATCAAATTAATCCAGTTATCAACTAGATAAATTTAAACCTACGAATGCATTAAATAAGAAAGAACAACTAATTGTCCCTAAACTTAATGTAATTTTTTCATGAAATTCTTGTACAAGAAGCACAAGTCTAAGCCCTGCCAAATGAACCCTAATACTCCTTTCGTAGATTTGATTATTTTTATTTTTCCCCCCTCTTTTAGTTCCTTTTTTTAATGATTCATGATACCATCGAGAAGTAGGATAATTTTTATAACCACTAGTACTAAGCACGTGCGTTGCACGCTTTATGTATCGATGAATGATATATGTATTATTTTTCAATTACTTATACCAATTTTTAAAATAATAGAGATAATTGATATTGTTAAAGGGAAAATTTCAATTGAGTGTGTGTGTGTGTGTGTGTGTGTATGATTACAATTCTTTGTACACAATATATATATTTTTTAGTGATCGAATGTCTCAATTAATATATTAATGCAACCTTTCAATTTTCTAACCTCAATTAAATAATAACCTAATGGATGGATTATAATGTAAATCATAAAAGATTAATAAGGGCTTTGTTGATAAAAAATAAAAATAAAAATAAAAATTGCTTTGTTAATGAAAAATAAAAACTCAATGGATGAATTATAATGTAAATCATGAAGATTAATAATGAGGATTTTGTTGATGAAAAATAAAAAATTGTTTTGTTGATGTAAAATAAAAATTGTAAGAACAAAATACTCAATTGAATGATAAGTCACTAAATTTTCATTGATTTTTTTTTAAATAATTGTATATCAGTTTCACTCCTTATATTAATTTCAACCCAAATGACAAATATCAATTAAATATTTCAACACTTATATTAATTCTAAATCAAATGATAAATATTAATTAAATTGGTAATAAGGACTTCGTTAATTGTAAAGAAAAAAAATTAATTGAATGTTAGTAATTGAATTTCCGAGTGTAATTTCCTTTTTATTCATTGAATGTTCTCATTAATATATTCATGCAACCTTTAAAATATTTGTAACATCAATTAAACGATAACTTAATGGATGAATTATAATGTAAAGCATGAAAATTAAAAATTGCTCTGTTGATGAAAAATAAAAACACATTGCATGAATTATAATTTAAATCATGAATTAATATAAGGATTTTGTTGATGAAAAATAAAAATTGTAAGAACAAAATGGTAAATTGAATGGTAAGCCACTGATTTTGTATTTATTATTTTTAATATAATTGAATATTAGTTTCACTTCTTATATTAATTCTAATCCAAATGATAAATATCAATTTAATATTACACTCATTATATTATATTAATTCTAAACCAAATGATAAATACTAATTAAATTGATATTCCAATCATGAGGGTAGTGAGCATATAGTTAAATATGTAGGGGTAAATTTGGTATTTAAAAGTTTCGCCAACATCCGCACTTTTAATATATTGTAGATACCTCATACTACTATCATTTTCTGTCTAGTTTTCTTGTGAATTTCAGACAATGAAGTGCTGATAAACGAGATTGAGAATGTCTACAAACAAAAATGATATTAATTCTCAAGGTATCTCGACAATAACCAAAAGAATAATGCTATTTAACATCTATCTACATAGCAGGAGCAATAGGGTTACAATTATTAAGAGATTAAAAAAATGCATAATTACATAGATCAAGGATAAGAAAACCAAGAGAGATCAAGAGTTGAATACACTACTTCATTCGGTTGGTCTCTGTCCCAAACAAGAATATCCTCGTAGCGTTTCTACATTTCATCTGTGCCAAAATTTAGTTAGAAATTTCCATGCTCTCGAGCAAAAGTCCATGAATGTTACATTGAACAAATAAACATTAGTACTCAGCATTCTAAACAGCACAAAGCGTCGCAAACTGGCAATGCAATTAAGAACTGAAGTGGGAATGCAAAATGATGCTCATAGCCAATTGACATGCGGCATAATTGATTTTGGGCTAAAGATAGGGATCCATCTATATCTTGAATCACTATTTCCAATTTTTCTCTTGAATTTTTTTTTTTATTATGATTGATTGCATTTTTTTATTATTATTTTTTTTTAACGATGAGTTTTCAGTCTTAATGCAAGGCAACTAAATATCGTATTTCAATTATTAGGGTCAGAGCTTAGACGAAGGGAGCATAGCCCAGGAAACGAGGAAGCATGTCATAAAGAAGTCAACTAGAAGTAGAAGATTGCTGGCCTGAGAGAAGGCAGCCCCTCTAGGGAAACATAGTTCCCCGTACTCAACACTAATATATTCATGTGTAAAGCCTAGTTGCCTGAGTCTACCAGGGCACATAACGTTTATACTCGCACACTTCATAGTTTTTGCTAATTGCCTGACTGGTTCCAACTTGTGTTCAAGCCTTAAGACAGTTCAAACAGCAGAAATCTTGATTCATTTGTAAAGGAAAAACAAACAAGAACTCCACCACAACAACAGCAAGCGTATCATATTTGTCAAAACATGAGCCCATACTTCCCACAAAAACTAGGTCTTTTAAATTTTTTATGTTTTTTTATTTAAAAAGAAAATTAATGTGCATAGATAACTTTGCATTGAACAATTACAGCCCCCTTTTTTAAACTACTATAGGTAGCATATTTTATTAAGCCCCTGTTTGGTGAGAATTAAAATAAGATTTTTAGTAAATTTTGATAAAAGTTGATAAAATATATGATTGAACCACATATTCTTCAATAAAATAATATTACACGCAAATAAAAAAAATTTTCTTATTTTTTAACCACACATTTCTCATTAATACACTATTCAAGAATACATTATTACCAAAATAATGTGGCTCAAACACCCCCTAAATGTTTTCAATGCCCATTTAACCAAAGTATACCACACATTCTCCACAAACAATTGGTAACTATCCAACAACTGCTATGAACCATTTACTTTCAGAACAAGTGCCAAAATAGCAGCTTCATGCAATAAAATATCTCCATTCCCAGCATCCAGAGCCAACAATAAAATTAATTATCCAAATCCCAGATCCAAGATTCCTCAACTAAATCCCAGATATTCAATGCAGTGGCTGAGAAAGGTGGGGACCAGTGGAAATTTGAGGCAAAAAAAAGTTATGACTTTTCTATTATATTTTTTATTTTCAAATATCGTTATATTTTGTGTTTAAAACATTTTTCCATAGTTAAATTCGGCCACCATCAGATCCGAAGCCTGACTACACTTCAATGGGCAGCATAATCACAGATATATGGCCATCTAGGCATCTACCCCATAAAACCAATCGATGCCAACCGTAAAAGAAAAATGAAACTTAGTCTGTCAAATTCCTCATAGAAACCATTTTATTTACTCGAGTTATAAATATATGCATCATTATATCTTCCAACAGGTAATAAACTAAACAGAGTGATAGAAAAGGATCACGCAACAGATGCCATATATATTGAGAATAAGACTAAATTTGGTGTTTTTTACATAATAATGTGATTACTTGGAGTTCCATTGACCTATGAAGCTTCTTAGAACTATTAGGAACAAAATTACAGAAATAGGTATGCCGTATGCGAATTTTGCGGTTTTATCAGCATTTCACATCCTGTAATTGGTGTTTTGACATGATGTCTCAGATTTACAAATCAATCTACAGCTAAACCTATCACCAACACCTAACATAGCAAACAATAAGCAAGCAAGCAAACAATCATATGCCCCACACAAAATTTAAACAAAAAAATAAAATAAAATCAGCTCAAATTGAATAATGATGGTTTAAAACAATACCCCAACATTGTTGTGCTCCCACAGCCTGTGAACCCCATAGTCCACCGCCTGCGATGTCAACAAAAACAAAAACAAAAACACCCAAAATCTAGATTACAAAAACATGAGAAAGCGGCAAAAGAACAGAAATCTGAAAACGAATCACACTCCATGGGTTAACATCAAAACTTCTTTTGAGAAATTAATCAAATATCAAAAGGAATTGTTTATTTCCTAGATCCAAATTCAATCGAGTTAATCTACCCATAAACATAACTACAAGTGGAAATGTATAGATACTAAATCGTTCGCCGAGGAAGGCACCGGCTCTGCATCGGCGACGACGAAGTCGCGAAGGTAACGTAGACGGAGTTGCGGCGCATAAGCACTCTATTCCATAGAGCCCTTCCCAAACACCTCCTCTTCTTCTAGCAGCTGTTTCCACTTCGAATTTTCTCCCCTTTTTTGACTAATTATACTAAATTCTCTTTGAATCTTTTGTAGTTGGGTGGAAGAAATAGAGAAATCGGTATTTGATGATTGTTTGAGGAGTCTGTTGTATTTCAGTGACCGGACCGGATAGTTGAGCTTTAAGTAAAGGACTTTGATTGCTGCACAAGGCCAGTAAAGAATACTCCCAATACATGGGCGAGGAGTGGGGGAATTTCTTTTTAAAATGATCACCCACTCACGCCCATAAGCATGTGAGATTCTGTACACAGGGCTGTACATCAGACAAAATTCTTAAGTAAACTTTCTAAGCTTAGCCAAACATCAAAATAAATAAAAGGTTTTGCTTCTGGTATATAAAAAATATACATAATGATTTACATAATATGATGCTGAGAGATTGTATGAAAATGTTGATTGTGTTTTAAATTGACAAATGGTAGTGTTACGTGGTATTATGTAATTCATTATGAAAATCTTTATATACACACAACAAGATCATAAATAATTTTCTTTACTCTAGCCTGAACTTTTTTAGATGATGTAATCTAACATCGTTTTAAATTCATAAATAATCTACTATTTCAGTCATGGACAACTCACAAAACGAGAAAATGCTGCCATTCATACAAATAATCTTCTATTTTAGTCATCGACAACACATAAAATGAGAAAATGCTGCCATGAGATACATCAACACGTTCTGTAAAGGGAGCCTTGTCCTTCACTTTGTTAGGAACATATGCTGAGCAAATAAATGACCAGCTGTTATTATTGTTGGAGCTCCCACCATCTACATTCTCTACGTTATATAGACACCATTCGATCATAACCTCAATTTTTGTTCTTAATACACAATATATCCACACATATTTCCGATCGGGGAACGTATTAGATAGTTTACTAGGTCCTTGAGCAAATCCTACATTAGCCCCAGGACGTCGGTCAAGAATTATCGATAGCAACAATCATTTCATTTCAATCAGGAAGTTTTCTCGATCATTTAATGTCACACTTATATCCAATCTCTAGTAAACAAACTATTTACAAGATCATCAATTGGATGACAAGAATGAAGCAAGCAACTAATAGCAAGCGCTGGATAGTACAGTATAGCACAAAAAAAATGATGAATAAAATACAATTCTATCTAATAGTGTTTAACAAAGGTGCACTAGCTATCTAATTTAGGGATGTATAGTGGAGAATCTTCTCCAAGCAAAAGAGACCTCAAAATGGCTTCACAAACTGCACCATCATAGACAAGTAAATGCCCTCCATCAGGAACTTCATGATACCTTATCCAAGGTAACTTTTGGGAGACAAATCTTTGTAATTGAACTGGCACAACTTTGTCTTCGTAACCTTGCCAGATGTGAACGCGGCTTTCCTTTTGAGGGTATGGATTGGGCAGATCCATCGGATCAAAATCCCACTTTCCAAATTTAATGTCACACTTATATCCAATCTCTAGTAAACAAACTATTTACAAGATCATCAATTGGATGACAAGAATGAAGCAAGCAAGCGCTGGATAGTACAGTATAGCACAAAAAAAATGATGAATAAAATACAATTCTATCTAATAGTGTTTAACAAAGGTGCACTAGATATCTAATTTCGGGATGTATAGTGGAGGATCTTCTCCAAGCAAAAGAGACCTCAAAATGGCTTCACAAACTGCACCATCATAGACAAGTAAATGCCCTCCATCAGGAACTTCATGATACCTTATCCAAGGTAACTTTTGGGAGACAAATCTTTGTAATTGAACTGGCACAACTTTGTCTTCGTAACCTTGCCAGATGTGAACGCGGCTTTCCTTTTGAGGGTATGGATTGGGCAGATCCATCGGATCAAAATCCCACTTTCCAAAAGCCACCATAAAGTCCAGCCGTAGGGAGTCGAACACACTTCGTTTCCTTAGCCTTTTCTGTTAAGAGGAAATAAGTGTTGAAAGTAAAATATGAATATATAAATTTGTCCATCTCTAATAGTTCAAGCTGTTAGATAAGGTGGTTCAACAAAATAGATGTCTCGCTGTCACCCATTTGTGGGAATTATGCACTTTTCAAACATGCATCTGGTCTGGATGTCAGTGAGTGTGTTAAAGACAAATCTAACTAAATAAACGCGTGTTGTGTGTTCGAGTGTCACCCATATCCGTTTATTAAAATTGGGCACATGTGAGGCTTTGGATGAAAAAAATTGAATCTGACCTGCACTCTTAGAAACGTGTTGAAGATAAAATCTAGACTAGTAACCTTGTATGGGAACAGAATCAGCAACCTAGTACTAGCGCAGAATTTATACTTATCAACTGAATCAGCAACCTTGTATAACATAATACTAGCAGAGTTCCTATTTATGCACAGAATTAGCACGGTAAATTGAAAAAAATAATAATAATAATAATAAAATAATAATAATAATAATAATAATAAATAAATAAATAAATAAAATTTACCTGAGTAAACAATTGGTAGCCTGGTGTTTTCTTCAATACCTCTAGGTCTTTGTCACTGTAAAATGCATGGTTTTGTTCAAGGGCAGTAGATGATGGAAACAATTTCTGAGTCACCCACCAGTGTAATAATCTGGGAGTATAGCGTGCAACACGGAACATCCAGCGCAAAAGGCCCTTCCTATAATCATCCTTTACCAAATCACTAGGTAGAGAAGACCATTTATAATTTATATACGGAACTACAAGAGCAATGCCTTCTAGCCTGTCATCAACGCAGATCATAAAAAAAATAAAAATCAGTGTGTTCTATGCCTAACTAGTTCAACTTGGAGTTCCATCTCAAAAAGTTAATCTTGGTGTAGTAGTTCAATCTCCTTAGAAAGGAGATTGAAGACCATCCTCAGGTCTAGCCAAAGTGGGAATTTTCTTCACACATGTTCAACAATAGTCTCTTATACGAAGTGCCACATCATCATTACACAAGATCATCATGGCTCTCCTCAAGCAAAAACTCTGATACCACTTGAGATGCGCAAACAAAAGTCCCACGTCGACTAAACATGGAAATGGTCTTGGGATTATAAGGGGATTGGACAACTCTATGTAATAGGTTAACCTTTTTACATGGAACCCAAGTCTTTGCATAACTAAAATCTGAGCAGTAAGAATCAACGAAGAACCTGTTTGGTATGCGTCTAAGGCAACTCCAGGCAGGGTAACATCCTAGTGAAACTCCGATAACATAGACTTTAGGTCCTAATTGTAATTTATCAACTAGTTCCTCAATATCAGATGCTTCACTTTTTAATGATCTCATAGGATTTGGATCACTTTCTCCATATCCAGCTCTATCATACATCACAAGATATATTCTCAACTCCTCCAGTAGTTCCTGTAGACTAAAACAAAATTAAGCCACCGCATATGATTGTGAAGAATCTACAGAATTTTTGAGTTTGCACTTTATACTAGAACTAGAATGCAGTAAAGAAAGTTGTATTAATTGATAATACACTGCCTGTGTATCATCTGTGATTAATAAAATATTTGATTACCTATAACAAAAAAAAAAAAGAATGCGGTAAAGAAAGATAATTCGAACAGAATTGAGTTCCTTTGAACACAGCAACGAAAAAACTATGTTTTTCTTCTCCATAAATTCGAGGCCTGCTACATAAATACTTTTTTCTTTGAACGCGTCGTGAATTAATATTTTCTTTTTAGAACACAAGGGCGGTAAAAGTCATTATCTAGGATCCTGACGTTCTGTTTACATCACAAACTATGGAAACATCCGCAACAATTTGATAGTAAAAGAGCTAATTTTGTGCTATTACATATACAAGGCAGCCATCAAATATTCTTAGAAGTTCTTGCTTTCCATTCTTTTCTACTGATGTTAAACTAGACAATGCTTTCTAAAACTGCAAACCAAGTTAAAGCCAACCACGTCATCTAAAAGCTGTAGTTGTTCGAGTTTTGAGCATACTCCTTCACGAGCAAATTCAGACATTGAACTTTCATATAAACAGGTTCGATTATACAGTTCAACAAGGTATCAGAATAGACAAATATCTTGGCTTCAAACCTCACCATTTCCAAGGTATGAGATTCCACGTGTGAGACATATAATGCAAAAACTATTGAACCAACCTCATCGAAATATTTGAATAGATATGGGTCAATCTATTCAAGGCCTTTCACGTGGCCATCAAATTTATTTTTTATCAAAAGCCTGACATTTTATAGGCGAGCCGCGAAGGGATTTCATCTAAAAGTTAATAACATTAATACGAGCTGATTCAACAAAGCTGAATTACATCTATTGGAAAGACGTGTTGAGGATAAACTACATATCAATAAGTTCCTAAGCTCTCTATCAGCTCTCAAAACAAGGGGGTTCGAGTTCCAACTGTCACAAACTGTGCTTGATCTAACAAAATTCATCTCAAGATCAAATACGAAAAAGGGTTTTTAAAAAAAGAAGTTAAATTTGTGTACCTGGGATGCCTCGAAATTCATCTCTTTAGAACTTCCAAATCCATGAACAATAATAACCCTAAAATTGGACTTGCTCTTGGGGACTCCTCTTTCCCTGTAAGCCAAAAATCTTCCATCACTGAGCCTGACTCTGGGTGAATTGCTACTGCAATCAATAGGAAGGGTAGGCTGTGTAGGCTGCTTTGCCAATCCCATATAACGCAAGAATTTCCTGAAAACCATTTCTGTTAAACGAAAAAGAAAGAAAAAAGTAAAATTATTAGGAAAAAAATCTTCATTTATCCGTGTTAAAATTAATTACAAGTAAATTTAAAGATGGGTTCGATTTGTTCTTACTACAGAGTTGTTTCGGAATTTTTTTCGTTTTTATTTTCCAAATTTATTAGAGACTGTAATGATGGAATATTTTGAACTACAAGAAGATGAGGATTTTGGTGCACGCATTTCATTTCTCCATCTCTCTTTTGACTTTAATAAAATGCCAGGGGATTGCTTTCGAATTTATTTCCTTTGTTTGGAATGGCTGAAAAACTTATTAAAAAGTTAAAGGTTAATGTCAATAATTAATATTAATTATTCAGCAGTTTGATTTTTATTTTCTCACCACAAAAATGAAAAATATAATCATTATTCATCATATTAAGCTATCATATTTCACTTTTTTAAAAAAAAGTTGAACCCCAATCTTGAGGGCCCTCACCGCCCCGCTCCGAGAGCCTTGTGAGGGAGGTAAATTGTGAAATGTGTCCCAAGAAGTCAGGGAACAAGAGCTGTCTATACAGTGCGCCTACAAGAAATCTAATTTTATGTCTCACTTTTTATCTCTTAGGTGAGTCTCATAACAGTTGTATTTTTCATTCTCATCCTTACAAAAACGAGTACCAAACGGGGCTTATATATTTATGAAATTTTTAATTTTTATCATAATTTTAATATATTTCATCCATTTTTACCAATTTTTTATTAAAAACTTTGTAAACAAACCCGAAGAGATAAATGTGAAATGATGCAAGAAATTTATGAATTTTTTGTTTCATTCATTTTTGAATTCACAATTTTTATCATGGACTATTATTTGTTCAAATGAAATACATTACTCGATGTTCAGTTGACTCAATTTTTTGTTACTTTTCTAAAGTCTACAATACACGCACAATATTCTAACAAGACTTAGGTAAAAGTAAAATTGAGTGAGTGGAAACCAAACCGACTAGTACTTTCCAATTTCCAAATAAAAGTAGGAATTAAACACTTATTTATATAAATTTTAGATTTAGGTCTCGTCAATTGTAATTTACAAAAACTATTTATGTGACTTTTGGTATAAGCTTGGTCTTTACTCCATGAATACCTGCAAAGTTACTTTGAAAAAGTGACTTTTTGTATTGAAATTCTAGAAAAAATGTTTTAAAGTAAAGTCATATATGCTTAATTTACTTCTAAAAAATAAAATAATTTCCCATTTATGACTGCAAAGCTAAACAATATTTGGAGTATAATATACCATTTCACAAGTTGATATTTACAAGCAAATTTTAATTTATTTATATGTTACTTGCAATAATAAGGCACCCTTTATGGTAATGTTTAATGTAAATATATTCCTTGCTGAAACGTATATACCTACTATATTAAACAAATACTTGGGATATTAAAATAATTGGGTTTGATTACACTTAGGACTTTAGAATATTCTATTGTGCCATGTGATTGAATACTATTCTACCATACATATATATATATATATATATATATATATATTAGAAAAAAATTCGATAAGGATCCCCAACCTATTAGAGATGTAGCAATTGAAGCCTTATCCTTTGCTCGCGTAGTGAGTCCTTAGTAGATGGTTTCCGTCCATTTAGATGTCAAGAGGTCACAAGACTCTAAACAGACTTATTTTGAGAAAAAAACTTTCTAACTAGTCATTTTTCACTTTTTGCTGAAATCATATTCGACAACCGTCAAAAGGTTTATCAAATATAATCATTCGACCATACAAAATGACTAGTGTTTTTTATCAGAT